TCAGTTTCTGCATTTTCCAATGGGAATAATATCATAACAAACCTCACAGGGATGATGTGAGTATTAATTGAGTTGATGTTAAGTACATGGGTCAGTTCCTGGTCCACACTCAGCACTCAATAAACGTTACCTGCAATTTCCTGCCTTTTCTTTTCCAATTTGCAGAACCAACCCTATTAAGGCTACTTCCAATCTAGATACACACTTAGAAATAATAACCAGATGGGTTCCCCTACAGCTGGCTTCCCTGAAAAGTGAATCTAAATCATCTTGACACATAGTTTATTTATTAGACAGCTAGCTAGTTTTCAGATTACTCTGTTTCAGATACACACGTACAAATAGAAGGTTAAATTATTGTGGAAAATAGTGCTAGTTTCCTGCCCAATGTCTGGTCTCCCTCCTTCCTTAAGATACCCATTTTGTTCAGGGCAATAAAGTAGTCAGCGGAAAACACTCATCCCTCCAAGCTCTCCCACGGCAATGGTGGCCAAGTGCCCCAATTTGGAGCTCACTTTCTTTGCTTTATTTTTCTCCGTAGCACCATTGAAAGCATATAAATGTTTTCTACGACATCTCCCTCCATGCTGATGCAGCTCATACCAGCTCATCATACATCCCAGTCCCCGAATGGGGTCCGGCACACAAAGCTGGTGCTCAGTGAACAGCTGCGGCTTGAAGAAATGAGTGAGACAAACTGGAATGTATGTGTTGGACAGGGTTTCTAGGAAAGCTTTTTAAAGGATATGCCTGTGGCTTTTTGCCCTTTGACCTTCTTCACCCTGTTTCTCCTTCCCACCTGGAAGATGCCGAGGCCACTTTAAAACCAGGAGGATAACAACAACAAACAATACAATCTGGGTTCCTGAAGGCTCAGGTGAGCCTCGGTGCCAGCCTCTAGACATCCCAGCGGAACGAGGCGGTATCAAATGAACACTGGGTTTTGTTTGTTTGTTTGTTTGTTTAATGCCACTACAGGTCATGTTTTCTGTTTTTTGTAGCTAAATGCAATCCCAATAGATACGGTTATGAAGAGTTTTCAGGCGCCTGGGTGGCTCAGCCGGTTGGGTGGCTGCCTTCCACTCAGGTCATGATCCCACAGTCCTGGGATCGAGCGCTGCAACAGGCTCCCTGCTTCTTCCTCTCTCTCTGCCACTCCCCTTGCTTGTGTGTGCACACGCTCTGTGTGCCAAATACATATATACATACATACATACATACATGGAATTTTCCCAGCAAAAAAGTCTTGCTCTCTAGATATTCTTGAGACTAATCGGTAAGTAACAAAAAATTTAACTGATGTTCAGCTTTTTAGCCAGTGGACACAAATCCAAGATTGGTGTAATAAAGTAGATCGTCTCATCGACAGGCAATGTAAATAGACAGAAGTAGAAGAGGTGCAAATGAAAGCTCCCTTAGCATTTTTATTATATTTCCAGTGAAAGCAGACAGACCAGATAGAACGTAAGAAAATAAGGACCAACAAAACCTTTGTCAGACTGGCGGTGGCAGGTCTGTTCTGTGTATGGACAGATGCATCTGTCCTGTGGTTCACACATCTACCGGCCAAGTACAGCCGATCGGCCCATCTGCCTGAGGTTCCAGCTGCCGTAGATTCTCACTGCTTGTCACCCCCACAAAAGATCCACCCCCTTGGTCTTTTGCGGGGGGGTGGTCAGAGCTATAGTCCTGTTAACTCAAGACTTTAAACCCAGTTAAATGGTAAATACCACTGGGAGAGATGATGTATTTCTTAGAAATCAGGTATTTGCATTATAATTAACACCTTCCTTGGCTCAGGTTTTAACTGGGGGAGAAGGGAGGGAGGAAGACGTGCTGAGGCCCCTGACACTCTTAAGAGGGGGTAGTGGTGGGGAAGGGGCTGTGGATCTGGACAGCAGGAGCCACGAGGGCCAATCACTGGACTCCCACTTTGCTCCTGCCATCTAGGCCTCTGCTCTAAGGGCGGGCTTCTGCAGGATTTGCCGACTCTTGTCTGAGTTCTCTTGCCTTTTGACAGCAGGAGAAAAGTTCTGCCCATAAAACAACACTGCTGACTCAGAAGGATATTTTCGTTGGCAGACACTTGGCGGACACTAACCAGACACAACCAACTGGTTTGCCAGGTCATCCTCTGGGGCTTACAAAACTACCAGCAAGCGTTTTGATCTGAAGAATAGCAGGATTCTGCATTTCAAAGTAATTGCATTCTCAAGTACAAAAATACAAATAATTCAATATAAATAAAACTCCTCAGATTATCATCTGATCTAGAGTGTCCATCTTATTTAAAAAAAAAAAAAGAGAGAGAGAGAGAGAGAGAGAGAAAGAAAGAAAGAAAGAAAGAAAGAAAGAAAGAAAGAAAAAGAAAACATTTTGGAAGGTTTAATCTAAAGGAATTATCAATTTAAGAGTAAGTATCATCATTTTGTAACCATCACTGTAAAAACTGATTTAGGTGACAGTCGTTAAAGGAATCTAAAACCATCAGGTAAAAGTTTGATGAGGAACAAGACATTTACGTAGTCTCAGATCATCTCCCCACAGAATATTTACTAATTGCAAAGGGAAAATTCTAACTTCTCAGAAGAAAGCTGATGGACATCACCACAATCATATGATCAAAATTAGTATCACCAACGGGACAGATTAACATGATGATACGGTGCACCGGAAAGAACACAACATCAAAAATGCATTACCTGAATCCTAAGAAGAAACCCAGATAGAGGAATATCTCACAAAACAACTCGCCTACCCTCTTAAAAAACCCATCAGTATCATAAAAGACAAAGAAAGGCCAAGAAATCCTTTCAGATTAAATATGACAAGAGAGGACATGTGAATGTGATGAGTCATTTTTTTAAGTGTTGGGTTGAAAAAAAAAGTGCTGTAAGAAACACTACTGCGGCAATCAGAGAAACTCAAACATGAACTGTACATTAGGAAAATCGCTATTAAAATTCCTCTATTTGGTAATTATACTGTGGAGTTCTGTAAGAGAAGGTCCTTGTCCTTAGGAGATACATGCTGAGGTATTGAGAAGCGAGAGTCACAGAGTTTGTAACTTACTTTCCAATCGTTCTGCAATAATCGTAATTAACAATATTATATGTGTGCATGTGTGTCTGTGTCTAGGAGGGAGAATAAGAGTGTGCAAACTGCTAAGTCTAAGTTATAGAGAGGTTCACTGCACAACTCTTGCAACTTTGCTGTAAGTTTAACATTTTTCAAAGTTTTTTTAAAATAAGAAAAACAAGAGTACCATAATTTTCAAAAAGCATTAATAAGGAAATACAGGACAAAATGGATTACAACTCTTAGGTTACTTAGAAACACCCAAGTTCAAGTAAACCACTTAAAAGAACAGAAGCAAAATGGCAGATTTATACATGGAGCGGTTGGGGCTGTCAACAGTACTGTGTGTTGTGTGTGTTCAAAATTTTTTGTTAACCTCAGAGGAGGCTGAAAGTCTCTCTCTTGGCCACAAGAGCTACGCCACATTTCACTAAGTGGAGGATATAAACATGGAAAGAATGACTACCCACAACTGCGGGGGTGGGGGGGGGAGAGAAGAAATACCCAGCTAAGATTAGTACAAATTTGGTGAGTCGCTTCCTCTTAGGAGAAAAGGCAAACATTTCTTGTTTCCCAAAGGACTCAGATTCTGAAGAACACCTGAGTTCTCAGCCTGAATCATGACAAATAGGTAGCAAACTAGGTCAGAAGAACCTCCAATCCATTAACTCCAGGCTTCTGCCCACACTCAACTCAATTTATTACCACAGTACCTTCAATTTCCAAATCAATGTCAACTCCAATTTCTGAGCTCCTTCAGCCTCCACACTACTAAGCTGCTAGGAGCTTACATGAAACGAAGACAAAGGAGAGTCACAGTAATTGCACATATATTCTCTAACCTTGAATGGGCAATGGCCTTGGTTTGCTTTTGGCTCGTCACCCCCAATGTTCCTCAGTCCTGAACCAAATCTGCTCCACGACTTGAGAACCGAAGCCTTGGCAAAGCAGCCTTCCCTCCTTGACGCTGCCTCCAGGCTAGCAGCACACACACGTGGACGGATTAGGCAGGGCTGTGCTGTAAAGAACACACACGCTCTCCCAGCGCACTCTTTTCATTCCAGAAATACTTTATTCCTAAACCACTTCTATGCTTCTCTTGGCACCAAACAGTGTAAGCGGCTCTGTGCCAAAGGAAGTATCTGTTTAAAGATGAGGACTTTCTTAAAATTTCTTTACCTCGGAAGATCATAAATAGAACATTCTAGGGTAATTATGATGGAATAAAGAAAAAACAGAAAAGGTTGTAGAAAACAAAAGAAAACCCACTTGCTTTGTTTTTGTTTTTGTTTTTTAAGGTTGCCTAAAAAGAAACACTGCAGATATAAGATATAACATAGAATTATCTTCCATGAGAGTAAAGATTACAGGGCCCAAGTCAGGACAAAGAAGCAAAATATTACCTTTAACAGGAAAGGTAAGTAAGCATTTACCATCTTGTCACAAGCATTTATTTTTGTTTTAAGGGCACCCACCAAAGCCAAATGCAGAGAGGAGGTTTTTTTGTTTTTTTGTTTTTTACATTGTTTTATTCTGGAATATACTGTATTTTTGTACCTTGCTTCTTTATGACTTTCACCCTGTATCAGAAATTATTTTTAAAAGAAGAAAACCCATCTTGGTGGACCTGTCCTTTTTCCTTTCTCTATGCTCATTTCCAGATATTTATTTAGGGCTCACTCACAATAAGCAGTGTGAAACCAGTAACTCTTGTGGAATCCTTAGTCTTCACCAACTGAATTACAAAACACACTCTTACCACCTACATGTATGTACACACACACACACACACACACACACAACCATGGCAGGAAAATGACATCATGCTCCATGGCACAGACACAACGTGATCACCCGTTCGACTTTCACCAGGATGGACCTCCTGAGAAATTCTGATCCTGGGCAGAAGGAAGGAGACTTACTTTCTCTCCACTTCTGGTGTTGACACGGCGCTGCAGAAGCCCAGCGACTCCTAGGAGAAAAAGGCACAGAGCAGCAGGCTCTCATTTGTACAGAATATCACTTAAAAAAAAAAAAAAGGGCAGAAGCAAAAATAGATGATTAAAGTCATTGTGCTTACTTCGATCTGGGACCGCAGCTGAAGTGACGTGGGGCTGGCATCAGGTTTCTCCTAAAAGAGAACAGATGCGGGTTTGATGAGACTTCCCAGCGTGGCATACACCAGAAAGACACAGAGATATGTAAGCAGAGATGGGGGGATACAGTGGGAGGAGATGGTGGAGATAAATAGATTTTTCTGGAAAAACTAAAGTGCTTTCATAATGAGAACTCTGGTCTTAAAATGGAACTGGTTCCCAAACTTCGCTGCTTGACACTGCTCACAATTTTACTGCAGAAGAAAAAAGCACAATCCAACTGAAGGGCACGGACAGTTAATGGTGAAATACTTCTCTGGATGTGATCAGACCCTCACTGGAAAGACAGAATTTATGTGGATCCAGTTGTGTTGTTTCTTTTTCAATAATATCGGAGTTCCAATCTGATTTTTAAACTCTAAATGTACTCAGAGTATTTCATAACACAGGGCTAGGTGTAAGTGTCTTTAGGAAGGCTCACTTGATATTATCATGCAACCTAGAAATCACCATGCTCCTATAAATACAAATGAATTGGCCCCGCTGGAAATTTAAAAAACAATTCTCAGCACCCAGTTAATAGATGAAATAAATACATGACATTATCAAAAATCATCAAATCATAAAGAAAGGAATCATTTTAGAGATAAAACCATTTCATAGTTAAAAACTCCATTTCCCCTTTGGTAAAAAAGAGAGAGAGAGAGAGAGAAGAGAGGTAAACCAGTGACCTATATGAAAATAATATATTGAAATAAGCATTGGCAGCAAAATAGGAAATTGCACTATTAGAAGTGTTAGAATATACTATGGGAAAATGAGAGCCGTACTAGTGAACACAGCACAGAGTACGACACTGATATTTTTCACAAGTAGAGAATAATTCTAAATCCAAATAGATGCTAAAGTGGAGGTCCTCATCAAAGTGTGGTACACAATCCAGGGTGGTGCCCAGCTGATTACATCATATGCACCAATAGAGTTTTAGAGGAAGGAGTGATATCACTAAGAATACAAGGTTGAAATATCAGGTTCATCATGAGTTTTCCAATAATCCCATTGTATTCTTAATAACTGTTACATTCTTCAGGTCTGCACAGGCACCATATGAAGACGGTTTTGTTAGTCTCAGCTGACATTCAGGATGTGGGAGCAGATCATCTCAAGTTAGGAATTCTCACTGTGTCTAACTGTTCAATTTATTAAAGTTGCCTATTTTATTACTAGCATGATTACAAAACTAGGCCAATATTTTAAAAACTTAGCAATGAAACATTAAAATGAGTATAGCTCAGACTACATTTATAAATGTAAATAAGTAATGGGAATCCAGTACATATATCGACTATAAGATGAATGTGCTGGGTGAGTAACCTGAGAACAGGATGATTTTGGACAAGTAGATCGAAAGAGAAAAATACTTTAATGGACTGGAAACTCACTCACCCCTAGTCCCAGGGCCTTATTTGTTACGAAAAAATACCAAAGTGGTGTAAAGCCTCATAGAACTTCTCTTTGCTTAACATCCTCCCAGTTTTTATTGCCACCTTTGTTCATAATGGACAAATTTAGATTTCTGTCCCAGACTTGATACACCATTTTTACAAAGCAACATATGGAATTGTTCGAGTTACATTCCAAGTCCAATTGGTATGACATCAGACTCAGGTGTAATCAACATGGGAGACACGTATTTGGGAGGTTCCTTGTACTTAAGAGACCAGTCATGATGCCCTGATACTTAACCTCTTAGCATCACATAGAGAAATTTATAAACTTAAACAGCAGGAAGCAAGCAAAGGTATAATTTGCAGTTTTTCATCCTAAATCTTCCTGTTCAGAGTCAGGGTAGGAACCTCAGAAAGATAACAGAACTACGTTACTTCCTCTGAATTTTTCTCTGAAATAGCCCCTTTAACACCCAACTCCAGCCCATGTCCTTCCATAAGCAACAGTGAAAAAAATGACTGATTAACTCTCCTCCCTCCTCCATTCTTAACTGTTCTTCAAGCTCTAAGTCTCTACTTTATGAGGTCATAGTCTACGATAGGAAATTACCTTCTTTTACTGCACATTTTTATCTGCATTTTTTCTAATAAATTTTATTTACTGAGTGCATCATTTGTTACTCCATATCATAAACATAACATTTATGGTACATTATGCAAAATGTGCCTTTCCCCGCATACAAAGCAGGTGTTTGTTAACAACCACATTAAATGTTTGATGACCACGAAGTAACATGCTAAACAATTCATCTTCACATGTTAGTCTCTTACTAATTATAGACTGTGTTTGGGGGACTTTTTAGGAAATTGGTTGGGGGTATAGTTTGATGTATAATGTACTAAAATTTGTGCCTTTAACCATCAAACCTGAGAAATGCAACATTGCAAATAAGAGTTAAGGTTAGCTGAGTAAGAACTGACAACCTGATTGCCCAGTTGCAAACAACTTTATTTGGGGAACAACTGATGGTCCACTATCTAACTCCTGATTTGAAAGTAATCATGTTGATGGAAATAGTAAAAATTGTGTCTTCTGGACACATTATGGAAAGAGATGATCACTGAGAAATAAGATTCTCCTTAATAACATGTGTTAACTGATGCAGTTACTACTGCTGTGTAACAAGTCATCCCAAACTTAGTCACACAAACCAATAAGCATTTTTTTCTATTCACAGATTCAGGGGTAAGAATGACAAATATTGGGGCACCTAGGTGGCTCAGTCGGTTAAGCATCTGACTTGATATCAGCTCAGGTCCTGATCTCAGGGTCGTGAGTTCAAACCCTGCACTGGCCTCCACCCTGGATGTGAAGCCTAGTTAAAAAAATAAATTAATTAATTTAATTAAATAAATAAAATTTTAAAAAAGAATGTCAAAAACCATTAAACATTACAAACCCGTAGTGAGTTTGTGCACTACAAATGCTTAAGGAAATCTCCCTAACTTAATGAAGTATTACAGTGAAAACTAAACCAAATTATAAATATAGCTCAACATATGTTCATGTATGCATGTGTGCATGCAAAACGAAAAGTTAGAGAGGATATACAGTAATGTTAATAGCAGTTACCTATGCTTACTTTTTTTAAGAGCATGTAATCTTGCATTACCTTCATTATTTTTTTCTAATATAAGATCAGCTTAAAAGTACAATCTTCAGATCTTACATGTTGTAAAATTATCTACATGTTCATAAATGTGTGAGAAAACATCTCTGGGATGCCTGGGTGGCTCAGTCGGTTAAGCATTTGCCTTTGGCTCAGCTCATGATCCCATGGTCCTGGGATCCAGTCCCACATGGGGGGGGGGGGGCCTTGCTCAGCAGGGAGTCTGCCCCTCCGTCTGCCTGCCCCTCCCCCTGCTTGTGCTCTCTCTCTCTATATAAGTAAATAAAATCTTTAAAAGAAAAAAATAAACATCTCAGAGATTCCTTACATGCCAATGGTTATGTCTGCAAAGGCCACTATTCCTCAATTTTTAACACATCTGTCAAACATACATTGCTTTTAGATATTTCTAAAGAATGTAACAGAAATTTCAAAAAATTAAAACTGGTAATAATTTTAGTTGTATCCCAACAACTAAACATAGAAACTTCTTAAGAAATATTGAAACTTAAATTTCTCAAATTAGGTCATGCTCTATATTAAAATAATTTGAGATATTAAAAATTTTAGTAACGAGTATCATAGAAAACTATGCCTGCATTTTTCTGATTAATAGTGAAGGTCCATAATGATTTCAGAAATCATCTCACATTCATATCTTGACACAGAGAGACAACAGAACTGTAGTTCCATATATATATATATATATATATATATTTTTTTTAAGGCATCAAATGACAAAAAATTACTAGGTGGAGGGAAACCTCTAATTCATTTCTTGTCAACTTGGGACAATTTTGGAAATAGTAATTCCTTCAAAGTTTATGATGTCTAACACAGAAGCAAAAAAAGAACAAATTTTCCAGATGAAATCAGGAGTTTGCCAAAACCAAAACATGGGAACACACGTGCGCTTCCACCTGCTTGTGCACATGTGTGCACACGGGGGTATGCACAAGCCTGTCTACAGTCACACTAACAGGGCCTGGGTCAAATATAAATCGAAGGTTCTGGCACGCGGTGTGAAACACCAGAGTCAAAAACCCATTTGGGGCAGAATAAGGTCCTGGAAAACAAATATCACGCCCCTGTCCACACTCCAACTTTGTTTCCACCTTCTTGTGGAAATCCACACTTCTCCTTCCCTTAATGCTGCCAGTGCTCAAAGCCAAATGCACTTCAAGGCTGGAAAAGCAGGTGGAATAAATCTCTCTTATTCCAAAAGCAGAGAGGAAAACCATCAGCGTCTATCAGCTCAGCTCAGCACCAAGCTCTCCTCCTCCACGCCAGGCACAGGAAGGAGGCGATGGAAAGGCCAGAACACCACATACCTGGCAACACTCAGCCTACGAGTAAAGTACACATCCCATCACTGATGTGTTCAATTAATGGAGGAAACAGGCTCTAAACGGCTGGGGGAAGTTGCTGCCTGTGATAGATTTTAAAACTCATGTGCTATTGATCACTTTACGAGAAGACTATGAAGTGGCGGTGTCTCCCAACTGGCAAAGTATGCTCCCCTCTTGCCTGACTTCTCCCTTCTGGCATGCAGTGGGGTATCTGTTGCTTGTACCAGGATGTAAACCTCAACACTTTCTTCCGAGTTTCCTCACTCCCCAACAAATCAGCTACCAGGGACTGTTGCTTCTCTGTTGACAAGGCTTCTTGTGTCCAGCCACCCCATTCCATTCTCCCAGGCATCAGCTTCTCTGCATTCCTTGACCCCCCAGACGCCTGCCCACCCCCCTAGAGTGGAGCAGAAGGTACTGAGTGGGAGCTGGGAGGACTGAGTTCCAACCCTGCCCCCACTACAGTAAGACCTTTAGACCTCAGTTTTTACTTTGCTTGGTTTTGCAATGGCAATGAAAAGAAATGGACCATTTGGTGACCTTTAGGTTCCTCTTAGACTTGCAGTCC